TAAAGAAAAGAAAAATTCTGTGGACACAGGGAATGATGACAACTTGAATTTTCCTTAACTTACATGTCTGCAAGCTTCAGTCCAAGCACAGAATTTTATTTTTCAAGGGTGATTCTTCCCGTCCTCTCCGCATCAAACAACTCACTCCAGCGCTGTACGAAAAGTGAATTATTGCCGCTTAGAACCTCACACAAGAAATTAGTTATCAAACAGTTTAAATTTTTTTAAATAATTTACAGGTGTATAAAAACGTACCATACCTAAATGACCAATCTGCTACTCAGTTTTCGCGGTGCAAAGCTCCAATCTAAGTCAGTTTATTACAACAACCCAACAATCCGCAATTTGGTCAACTGCTCGAAACCGCCAACAAAAATTACGTGGATTTTTTACTAGTGGTTCCAGGTGTCTCAGTAAGCACGTTTGGAACCCAGCTAATCTGAATCACAGTAGAAAGATTCAGAATATGCCAGATGATCTAAACCCTGAAGTTGTTGGCACGCCGTTTCAGAATGGCTTGGTTGCAATCCCTGCGTTATTCTCCGTTGTCCACCTAAGGATCTGGGCTGCGATGTAATCTTAGTACTGACTTCTCGTCAGTGTTTTGAATATTACCTGTGTGTCAAGACCGAATATCCCGTAATTCTGCGGAGTAGCGAGTTATTAATTTCAGATTTCGGTGGGGTCCGCCACCAGTGATCCGTACTTAAAAATGTCATCAGTATGCGACAAAATTGGTTTGGGGAGTATGCTACACACCACGATCTAAATTGCTATAAACACGCAAAGCGAATTAGCTTTTGGCATGCAGTAGATTTCATGCCTGCCCGAAAATCACATTTTATTATCTTTTTATCAGCCAAGGCGGAGGAAAAAAGCAACAAAATGAGCATATGGACTCACAGTGATCATTGAGGGATCCAGTTTGTTACGTTTTACGTAGGTTTCCAGGTCCTGTTCAGTAATCCATCCACGCTGCCTCCGGTCAATCGATAGGTACGCATCCATAAACGGTTCCATTTTCACCGATGTTTTAGATGGTCTTGTTGAACTTGGCTCTTATAAATATATTCCCGTCAGCGAAATCACTTCACGCCACGTCTGTCACGTTAGGTTGTGATCCGTGTGTATCCAATGGAATGCTTAAATAAGAGGATTGTATGGTTGAATAATATGGTGTGCTGGTTTGCAATCATGTGTTCGTCAATACTGCTATAGCCAACTATGCCATGAGCTTCGCACATACGTTTTTCTTTTCCCGCTACATTCATTTTGTTAACTCTAGGCCCAGAAACTTTGTACTGAATCTCAGCCAACTGTGCAGCACCGTCTCTGTCCACAACAAAAAACATACGGCACTATTCTGTCACTACCCAAAATACACATTGAATCTTCGGTTTGTTTATTCATAATATTACGAAATGGACATTAGGACCTACCACTGCGGTTTTCGCGGAAAACGGTGTTTATGGTGGTTTCTTTGATCAGGAACTGTCTTGGAAAATATAGAATATTGAGCCTTCATATAAGACTGAGCGGTGACAGCTCAAAAGCACTCTGTTGCCAAACCTGTAGGCATGCATTTGATGTAGCAAGAATGGTCGGAGCTAGTCATAGTTGAAAACACATCGCTGTGTGGCTTCAACGCCTGCGAACACTTGTTCGTTTAATAGACAGACGTTCTAACTGGGCCAGTTCACATAGACGATTTTTAGTCCACCTGGCTTCAATATCCCTCAAACAATTACACTAGTATTCATGCAGACAAACGTTGGGTCTCAATCATAAGCGTTTCAGAGAAGCATTGATTTAGACCCTATTTTGTGACGCCCTGGATGTAAACCCAAATGTAGCATGAAACTGCCGTTATCGAATGCCATATTTACCATAATCAGTCGTTGGAAATTTCAGGAATATGCCTTCGTACACCAAGGATCACCGTGGTTACTGATTAGCATTTACCTTAGGACGCCATGGCGTTTAGTCCAGAAGTGACTCTCAATAATTACCAGGACTATCACGAATTATTTAAGCTGACATCATCAATCCAGGTTCCGCATACGGTGAACGGCCTAAGTCACGGAAAAATAAACTTTGTATATCAAACGAAAAATTCGTTTCACTTAACTTATAGTGAATCTTAGGGACCAAAGACAGCTGTACGCTTATTTATTATTTGAGATTTCTAATAGGATCCAGCTGTTTGGTGTCAACACAGCCAACAGGCATCTCACATTCTCATATTTGATGCCCAAAAAGTTCTTCTTTAATGCTACTAAAATGATAAGTATAAAATTTACTTACTGGGAATTTCGGTGATAGTTTTGACCAGTTTTTATAAATGGTAAACCCACGATCGTTCGAGTAGTATTCTAGAGAGGATTGAATATATGCCTTGATACTTCCTTGCAACCATCTCAATTCATCTCACCCGTGAGCAAAAATGAGTCGGTGTTCCTCCTGCTCACTGTTCTTCCTGCTCAATCTGAACAAAGTTAAAGCTTATTTTGCTGACTTAATTTGGAAAATCTTTGAGTGAATTCTCCAAGCAAGTAACCAAACATGCTGTAAGACCAAAAGTCACGGTACAGATGCTTTATTCCTTAAGAGTATGATCGTCAGTTTGCGTTCCACACATTCCCAGGGGGATTTAGACTCGTAACCTTCCTGTGGTTGTTGAAGGCTACACCATTTGACCGAGGTCTGCTGATCAAAAGTTAGATTAACGCGTGCATAGCATCAGCCATCCATGAATTACGGAGTCCACTTGATGTGACCACGTCAAGAGGATCTCGTTAATTCTCGAATCTTCCCGTGCTTGCACATGCTGTGGGTCGTGTGCATAAGTCCCAAAGGCAGACCATTCTTCCCGAATACCTCTTGTACTCTTTAGGGATTTGTTTCACTAGATTTTTCAGTTGTAAGCAACAAAAGGATAATTGGCTCCTTTGACTTTCATAGTAAAGCACTGTAGATCAGAATTGATACTATCTTACAGTTCTAGTACAGTCTGAAGATGTACGTGAAGAGCTACTTAAATGAATGTATTTAGGCAACAATAGAGGGCGTTGAAGCTCGTCTGTTGCCAAAGATAAGGGCATCGTTAAACGAGGTTTATGGGCTCGATTTGAAGCAATGTTTCCGTCAAAATTATTTCGATAGTCTATCCTGCACAAAACGTTTTGAAAGTCACGTAAATATATAGTGTAGACATGAATCTTGGCACAAGCTTGCAGTTGAATAGTAGTTCCGAGTCACTGATCAATTTACAGATGAGTAACAAGGTAACGCCTCAAAGGAACACAACTGGCTGCGCAGAAAAACGTGTCGGAATTCTTGTTGTCGTGATACAGAGAGCTGTGCTGAAAATAAAATTAGCGAAGAAGCCAACGCCTGAATTTAAAACAAGTGAGGAACATTTTACTGCGAAAAGTGGATAGCGTTAAATAAACACCTAATCGATTGGGAGTAGCCCCAACAGACTGCACTGCGAGTGATTTGCTCTGATGACAATAATCTCACCGCAAATAGGCAAATACCAACATTGCCGAACTGAAAGATGTCAGAATTTTCTAGCCCGAGTCATTTCATCAATTAAGCCAACAACTTTGTTTGAACTTTGATTGCCGAACTGAAAGATGTCAGAATTTTCAAGCCCGAGTCATTTCATCAATTAAAACTAACAACTTTGTTTGAACAGCAATTGACGAATCGGCAATGGATCGCCTTTGAGCCACTGCAATGTACTGCAACGCCAAAGAATGTATGGCCTTAGTTCACTTGAACAAACTTATAGCCGAACTGAATAACCATGTCTATAGCATCGTAGTAAATGACAACTGAGTATGAAACTGAGTTCTCAAAACAGCTATTCACTAAGAATATTTGCAATACGCAATGTCTTGCCGAACGTTCGGATTCTGCTAACACTTGTATAATTCTCGGGGCACAGATTCATTGTGTGATCAACCTAAAGACTCAACTCAAACATCTGAAGGCCAAGATGCAGTGCTCTACATTCTTGGGGATGAATTACCGTGTCTCTATTTAACTGCTTATTGAATACTTGTTTTGTACGAATGGATGGTTTAAGACGAACAAACTGACTAGGCGGTTGGATTCTGGGTTCAACCCTGAAACTTTGAAGCGGCGAAAATCTCTATTGGTCAACCGATTAGGTTGCCTGTCTATTTTAAACATGCAGGTATTCTGGAAATTTTGTTGGCGTACTTATATTGGTGTCTTACACGATAGCGCGGATGGAATGTCGCAATACTCAATGCATGTCCTGTCATTTTGGCGTTTGGAGACGCCAGTCGATTACATTCGCAGAATATGTGATTAATTGTGTTTAGCGACAGCAGTGGAATGAAGACAACTCGTGTTTGTAATTGACTTGGTTAGGAAATCTTGTTAGTTGTAGTGAAAGCTTAGCATTTACTGTGACATCACGCGTATGGTTACAGTGGAATTTGTGTAGGGCAGCATTATTGATTGTGAAGCGTTTCGCAATTTTCGAGTAACCGGTTTGGCTCAGTCACTGGTCCTGGAAAGTTTTGATGAACGCTTTAAATGAAAAAATGCGTAAGTGTGATCGATCACACGAGAATCAGTTGACGTGAGTCATAAAAGTTTCACCGCTGCACAAGATTCAGCCCGTAATCTTATGAGTGAATACTTTGCTTACTTGTGCTTTTGCGCTGACTCATCGAGATCCACCGATTCTCGATTGATTGGTAGCTAAATGCTCAGCGGCAATACCTTGACAGATCCAGGCTAATACAGGACCCTTAGATTCTGACATCGTCTGAATCCGTAAGACACCAGGAAATCCCTGAGTAACAGAGTAAGGAGATCAAAAATACCGTTTTTAATACTTTTCCAAATATATAGTAACTGTGGGTTGGTTGTTATTGGCTTTTAGTTAGAATAATGAAGCCAAATTTGTTTATACTCGTACTGTGACACATAACATCACTCGATCAACCAACTAAGCCTGGATGCCTGTGATTATCTGCCGCTCGCATAGTATACGTACAAAACCTTCGAATGAGCCCGCTGCCAGAACTAATCAATCATCGCCTATCTTCACCAGCAGGGACCAAGTTTGCTAGCTTTTAGGAAGCAAAAAATGATGGCTTTTGCTAACCCTGTCGCCCATCTACATACAACAGGCATTGTGTTATAGGGCATTAAATCTGTATCAAAGGGAAACGGAATTATGTTCCCATAAAGTTTCCATCCGTGACAGTCCCGATTCTTAAAGGTGTCGACAGCAGTTTGGTCACTGGATGCCTGTACATAGCCATAACAACATCTAGAATTTGTGCAAAAGCGGATGAACTAGGACGGATAAGCTTGTTAGTTCGGCTAATCAACATGAAGGAAGAAGGTTTCTTGAATAGCCCACAAATGTCATTTCGCAACCATCAGGCGACCTACGCATAAACAACACTGGCATCACATTGCAAAGAGGAACATATTTCACCCATCGTTTCCTATATGCTTTGTTATAATAAGACTATTAGCACGCAATTACAATTTTTTCATATTCACACCGCTCTCGTTTGAACGGTTGTCCTACTGTTCTGGCGTGATTATTTTGGTGAGTCCACACCGAAAGGAAGCACTGGACTTGAGTGTGGACTCACCAGAATAATTACGCATAAACAGGAGGGCGACTGTCCACACGAGAGGGGTGTGAATATGAACAGACAAATATCCCTCAAACCCCTACTGTTTTGGGCCACGCAGGTTGTGGCGCATAAACAGATAATATAGCTTGCTATCACTAACGTTCGGGGTATCGCCTTCACCCAAAAACTCCATAAACGCAAACAGACTTGGAGGACCTACCCACACAGTCGCGTACCAACGGTGTCTCCCCCCACAGCGCCCCACTTGTCAAGCCCGACAAACAGATGAACTGCCGCCTGATAATAGCCATATGCTACAACTGTAGTATCTACTAAGGTGAGCGAACATGTCCATCGAAGCTTATCAACCGAAAATGTGTGAGGCCCACTATCCAACTTCCCCACACAGATGCATTCACAAAGTAGACAAGTTTACACCTCTACTAAGGTGAGCGAACATGTCCATCGACGCTTATCAACCGAAAATGTGTGAGACCCACTATCCAACTTCCCCACACAGATGAATTCACAAGGTAGACAAGTTTACGCTTACTGGTACAGTCGCTTAGAAGTAGATTTCTATATTGGAGTATCGACACACGCTAATTTTGGAAGTGCGCTATAGTGAAACTTACTTCACCTTACAAAGTGAATCTGTCCAGAGCCAGAGTTCTTCTGACTTCAACTCAAAATGTATCTCTATGAAATTCACATGTAGTCTGTTTCCATTATCTTTTCCGACTGTGGAGTTTATCCTTCAACTACTCGTGTATCATTTGTACTGAAATGCGATATATAGCCATACATTTTCAGTAGGCCGACCAATGCAACTAGTTGTGCAGCAATAACAGTCTGTCTCAACCTTCTTTGGAACCTGAGCACTTTGAGTCTGATATCGTCAACGTGGACACAATCCTTCTTTGATGTGACACTTGGAGTTGGATAAAACACTAGTCTACCGTCCATATCATAGTGTGGACAGTGGGATTTCGCATGAAACTACACTATGGTGTCAAATGAAGGATTATGATGGCTTTAAACAGGCTTTTTGCTTTTCTCCTGGCAACTAAAGTCTTTAACACCTACGAGTTCGCCACATTGTTGCTTGTCTTGTCGATATTTAACATATGGCCGGAATGTTGTAGTTATCAGCAATGCACTTTAAGAAATAACCAAGTCTAAGGATGGCAGTCTCTGTTAAACCTAAAAAACAGACTGATGGAAAACAAGCCTTCAAAAATATTACCACGTACACTGCAAAACATTTCGATGTTGGGCAATTCTGGTTTAGGACGTGTTGATAAAGCATGGTTGTCTGGAAAACTGAAGCATACTGATTTCATTGTACTGTGTTATTTGTCAGATAATGTAGCACCCAAAATCTATTAGGTGATCATTGTGACACTGCCCAATGCCTATATCTTCTTACCTTTAAGGCGCAGCCTTCCGTGGTAAAAGCTGGATACTGTCTAAATCAAAGCCTGAGGTCGTTTTACATTCATATTGTTTTTGAAATCTGCGCACATTTATCGGCAAAAAAAGTAAAACATTTCATCTACTTTTTCTACAGTTCATTTTCCAGGAAAACAATCCAGAACGACTTCCTACTACAAAACATCGTTTTCCTTCATTCAGCGCTGCTTGACACACTTATGGCTTTCCTCTTTGTATTTGATGATTTGAGATCATTAGACGTGAACCAATTCACCATAGCTGACATCCAGAGTCTTAAACCCAAATACCGGCTCCGACAAGATTACGCATTTTTACACAGCGTTCATAGAAGCTTTGCTAGTATTCTAGTCTTTCTTCGTTGCTGTGATACAGCCAGAATAACCAAAGTTTGGTACTAAGAGGACTGTTTGAGCAAATATGTAGTAAACAACACGTAAGTCAACACGCAACACTCTATTAATCTATCAAACATTGTGTGACAGACTGACAAATGTATATCCCAACTTGGCCTAAATTGTTGAAAACCACCGAGCAGATAGAATGACACAGCAAACTCCAATCCTTACCGAAATTGATCGAAATCATACACTTTTGATAAGTTATATTTCATGACTAACCAATTACAAGAAGTAGTCTCTACTTGCTGGGTAAAAAGAGTTATTCAAAATATGGAAAACGGAATGGCTAAAGTTGCTTTTACTCTATTTTTGCATGATGGGACCTCCGATGCTTGGAAGCAAAGTATGCTCTGAATGCAGATTCCACCGACCTGATACAAACCAATAATGTTTTTCCGGCAATTTGTGCCACAATTCCAGTGAACTTGTAATCACTAAAACTGTTTATAGGGTTAAGCTGCAAAAGCTATATTTTCTGCTTGATTCACAAATTTTTAAGGTTTCTGGAAGCGAATGCCGTATAACTTATTTACAGAAGTACCATCTGCTGGATTAGTGCTCCGAATCAATCAGCCTATACCTAAAACTCGGAGTAGATCGTCTGAATTTGCACGCTTAGCTCTGCTTAACTCTGATCAAATTCATGATAGCTCTTCCGTGAGGAATTTTCAGTGGTGTAGTGATCTTTGTCTTTCAGATATAAGATCACTTTAATTACATGTAAATAAAGAACGGCTTCGAAAATTCTACTAATGTCAAAATGATGTTCTAACAACTTGGTGCCCTGTGAAACGAAACCAAATAATGCACGGAGGAAATATACATGTTGTGCGGCTTATGAGGAGAATATGACGAGTGTATTCAGGTACACGATTAGCGTTTGGAAATTTTCATTTAGGCTTCTGTTGTATAACGGTATTTTATCCGTGCGGACTATCCAAGAATTCTGTGTCGTTATTCTGCTCGGAAGCTGGACTGAATAATTAGATGCGGTCATCATGCTTTTGTCGATGCATCACATGTATTATAAATGCGATTAGAAACTTTCACAGTCAATTTTGTGTCCCAGCGATGAGCATGCGCCAACGCAGACAAAGCAGGCATTACTCGGCGTATGATGACTTCACTCTCGGATCTAAGAATGAAAACAACTAAGATGGAACACCTTATCTCAGGCAGAGAATGTTTCTGAAAAACACCCACATTTTTCAATTGTATTTACGTGGGAAGATATCACATTCATTGGGGATCAACTGAACAGAACTAGAATACATCATCAAAACACAATGCAGGCTTTTAGGCCCGAAAAGATAGCTCATGGAACAGTGGATGTTAATCGGAGGGCGGAGGAAACTACACAGGCTAACGTAGGTGTTTTTCTGCATTCTTGGCTGCACTTGATGGCTTCCTAAAAATTCAAAGACTGATGAGTTCGCTCACCATTTGGTATGTTTTTTTAGTTAATGCTCAGGCTAATACCCTAGTTCGGACTGCGCGCTTTTGGCTATTTAGCTGTCGGGACATATCCTACCCATGTTCCTGGATGAGTGCATACATTGCTTTAGTTCACAAGATACTCCTGTGATTCTCTCATTCAGTACTTGTGTTTGACCGTTAGCCTCCCTTGATTTTGATTAAGTGCTTCAAGTGTCGTCTTGTGCCACTGAGGTGACCAGAGTAATTGGAGTCCACACTCAGCACTTATAATTGTTCGATGTGTGTGCGGATGTTTTCAGCCCCGCTTACAGATAGCTTTGTTTTTAATCTGTAAGCTCCAGATTCCTCGAGCTTGTTACGGTTAATAAAAACCGATATCCCGCGGGACGGTTATTTTGCGTGCATTCAAAAGATTATGCTCTACGGACGGCACTCATTTATATTTTATAGTTCGGAGAAAAGACGGTTCTACGCCTACTTCATTCAATACACCTATCGGCTATCAGTTCCACAGTTTTTTAAACTTTTTTGATCATCTGAGGAATACGCTAAACCAGTGCCACGTAGAGAGCTTATTAGGAAATCCACCAGCCACTATATGCACGGTTAGAATAGTATACGAGATGGGTGAATGGAGCAACTAGTAAACGCCCACTCGCAAAGAATAAATGAGAAAGATCCATAGTGCTCCCTCGAATCAGTGACCATCCCAGCGGTTTTTATCACTCCAGTTTATCCTTCTTGTGGAAAACAACATAGGCTACGGTTTATTAATCACATCACGGTAAGTGATACATCAACCGAGAATGAAAGTACAAAATCGGTGGCTTGACGCCCTTGTTTGTTAGAGTGCGCGACGTCTCTTCATATGTAATTGAAATACGAAATTTTCCAACGTGCCATCTGCCCTCTTATGATGTCTTCCAGAAGAGATAAGAACGTCCATTCAGATGAAATTGAAAAGACGAATCCGCAAGATGTGAGAAAGTGGCCCAAAAGTCTCCTCGTACAATTGCCACTTGCCAGTATTCGCCGAAATTCTTCTCCGCAAAGGCCTTCAAGTCTTTGCTAAGCTGTCCCAAGCCTTCTTTATCTTTCAGCAAATTGGCTCTGGTTCTTGTTTCGTCACTAAACAATATCTGTTGTTCCAAAGGCATTTTCGCCGAGATGACTTCAATGTCCTTTCCCAGTTGTTTCGGTGGTGCAGAGCACACAACTGAGTTATCCTGAAGGAGCACAATTTCCCTGAAAGAAAGATAGAAATTGTCATAATTGGAGAGAATGATGAAAAACTCTTTTCATTATGATGAACTGCTTTATGTAATTGTGTGGAGTCTCGTAGCATTACTATCATTGAAATTCATTGATGCTATGTCGTGACATCTTACACAATAATACTAGTGCGATTCTTGTGCGTTTAGTTTTGGAGACAGCTTCTTGGTAAATGCAGGAACGAGGAGTCGTAGTTTTTAGTCGATTGAAAATAAATGGCATATTATCAGATATTGCAAAAAACAAAACGTTTCATAATAATACTTTAGTCGATTCTTCCTCCATAATACGAGCGTCGAAGGTGATTGAAATGTACTCAACCACTAAGTCATGACCTCCGACGCTAGGGAAAAATTTTGTGGCATGTATTTTTGATTCTTCCAACTTTTAATAGTTGGCACTTTCTGTCCATTATAATTGATAGCAACCATGAGTAAACTTTATCAATGGCCAGGAAGGCCATCACGGAATGCACGTAGTTTTGTGGGTGAAAATACACACCATTGCGTAGCGCTTATCATAGAGCCCAAATCAGTAGAAAGCAGGTGCCGATGCTGCGCTTTCTCAGCCCTGACGCCGAAGAAGGTTTGCCATCACACCGAAACATGTCTCACAATCATGATTATTATCCACATTTCAAGATATACAGTTCTGTTTTTTCACTTTTAATTGTATAAAATTATGGGAATTCAATTACATTCCTCCCATACAATGGATCTGGTGAACTCTACGAATGTTTCAACGTGGAATAAACTCGTATCACAAAGCTTTGTCCACGTGAAAACTGTAACAAAGACTGATGAGGCAATTGCAGCCTTCCTGAATTGTCCTTAATTGTCAGACAGGGACGTTAGCAGTGATACCGGCCACAGTATTATTGACCTTCCAAGAGAATACACTGAGCAATGAATAGCGCATAGTGCATCTCATTTCCGCCAAATTTCGTTAATGGTATTTCTTATGCCCACATATTTGGTACACTTATCGCAAATATAGCAATACGTATTCAGCCCAGCATGTATTCTGGAGGTGCTTTTAAAACCATGAGTAGGCGGCTACCTGGAATAATTAACTTTTTGCTAAGTGGATGTATTCAAAGTTACCACGGGGTAAAACATTGAGTGATAAGGTAACGTGCCGACTGTGTTCCATAAGGTTCATTCGGACAAGTATATTTTTGCCCCTTATCTCAGAAGAAAATATGATGTTGCTGTATTACGTATTACTCGAGCTCGTCGAAATAACATTGAATTTTTCAGTTACGTGCAGGCGTCGCAAATCATGCACTGTTATCTGTAGCGATGAGAACAGAATGAAGAGGTGATGTTCACCGTTATGTAGACCAATACCAGCAGGCTAAAAAACCTACTCTGACTGGGTATTATAACCAATATTGTAGCCAAGTAAAATTCCTTCACAAGACGCAACAATTCAATGCTCTGCGGTTGAAGAGTGTTTTTACACTGGGCAAATTTCGACTTACCTTCCATCGAATGGACAAAAAATTTGCTTATCCTAAGTACTACTGCAAGGACAAGTGTCCTGTAAAATGATTTTGCTTTTGAAGAAAGCAAGTCAGGTGCAACAAGTCAGTCAATTAGAATTATTCTTTTAAATACCCTTACTTAATGTAATCCACATACATGCACTAATTGGACTTGAAAAACTAATTATTCGAATATCTGGCTTCAGAGGGAAAACACTGATTACTTCCATTGTAACGTGCACGAACACTTGTATTCAAAAAAGAATAAATTTGTGTTTGCATGCTGTTTGAATCGCATGAGCTGAATTAGAAGCATTTGATTGATAAATGAACAACATAGATCTCAGTTGGTTTAGATTGTTTCAGCAAAAGCAAAACAAAAGGTGCTTTGTTCATATTCACGCCACTTTTGTTTAGACTGTCGCCCTCCTATTTTGGCGTAAGTGGTATGGTGGGTCCACACCAAAGGGAAGCACTAGACTCGAGTTTCGCTTCTGCCAGAGGTCATCCAATGGTCATGCCAGGACATCTGACAATTGAGGCGAGCGTATTACCACTGCTCTACCTACGCACGTTAGACGCCTCCTAATTTTCACACCGTCACAACCAGGAAAGTTACTGAGTTGTCGTTCTATGGGTTGTATCACAACCAGGAAAGTTACTGGGTTGTCGTTCTATGGGTTGTGCACACCAATCACACATCACACATGGAAAAATTCAGATGCGTCTAATAAGCATCCGTGGAGTAGTGATAACACACTCGCCTCGCACGTCAGATGTCCGGATAGGCACTGCTGATGAGGTCTAATAACACAGGCAACCATGACGGATGTTGAAGTGAACTAGTAACTTCTTTGAACATGTAGCAGATTTTCGGACAAAACCGTCCAACTTTGATCTGAGTCGGCTCATCAGGTGTGCATACAACATACCAACTGTATCGTCTAATACGACATTCAAACACTGTGACTGTCAGTACTTGCTATAAGATATCGTCAGGACAAATTGAAACGACCTACATCTTTACTGAACCTCAGAATAGTACAATAAGCACCGTAATACACTCACTGTTGGCAATCATCGAATTCCTCAGGTGGCTGTGAGCAAACCACCGGGACACTCGGTGACAGTTCGATTTGTCTGAAAGAAATGGCAACATAAAAAGTGATTTACACAATTCTCTTGCCGACTGAGGGCCTAAGACTGCATTATTACTTATTACGTTGGTTTACTCAATAAAATGAACTAAGTCACTGGGTCCTTTACTCTGTTTTGGAATTGCAGATTTGTACCAAACGGGAACTCACAAATGAATGGAAATGGGTGAGCAACCTCTATAGGTGGACGGATGTCAAAATTTGTCCTCATTGAGAGATAAAATGGCTAGCAAAATAATATTTTCAGCGGTGCGCAGAGAGAAGGCCAATACAGCGGAAGAACACAATATACGTTCGCACATCCTTGAATTTAGCCAATGGAATTGCTGGTCTACCGACTTAATTAGTGCGCTTAAAAGCAGGGTCTAAACTCATCTTCGTCAGTAATGGAAGCAGGCATGAGCTGCAAAAAAGCCACACGGCAGTTCAGTCGTTCGCAGCTTGATTTGACTGTAAGTAATAAAGTGGAAAGTGGGAACTACACAGGAAAATATCCAGTGCGGATATTGATTGAAACCTCGGGTTATGCATTGAAAGCAGCGACTGAGACACAGGAATATCGGTGCGTGCGCAATTACGATAGGCTAGTGCGTCTATAACAACTGAGTGGACTCGTTTTAGGCTCCACGTTGTGATCAACGACATATTAGACTGCCGCGAGCGTTTTAGCAGTACTTAGCCGTGGTGATGGAGGATTCCGCGGGCCGTTTCTATTTTGTACACGGTTGAATGAACTGTGCTGTCGCTGGAAGATTTTGCTCCGAAATGTGCTTAACCCAATGGCAGAAATTAGGTATCATTAACCTGGACGAGCCTTCCTTCCTAGAAAATCATTCTGTGGGCCACAAAATTACCAACCGTTCGTTTGGCCGGACAGGAAAACATTTCAGGAACTTTCTTGAACAGCGCTGAAGATTCTGCCGTGGACAGACAAGCAAGAGAGGTGTCGCTGACTGTGACTAAATGCAGTCGACTGTTAAATTTGTGATACTACTGGGAGTAACAACGGGGAAAAGCACCTTAAAAATGAATGCGCACTGCGCGCAGAATTACTTGGTTCATCTTTACATCTTGGCTTAAGTATGGGTTCGAATTTAATCAAGATCAGAGAAGAGACAAGCTAAAATAGTGCATTTTTCAACTCCAAAATAATAAATTTGCACTGGTTTTAGATTCTGTTCGATTGCTTAGGTTCAAAACACCTCGACTGCGTTAACAATCCGTTAGGGTTGCATTGAGAAAGATACGCTGTTTTGTTTTTCCGACTGTACGACCGAAATTTTTAAGGATTTTCGACTATTTTTCTGAGATCAAATTTCTTCTGATCAGTGATTTTAATCATCACTTATGTGGCAAGACCAGTTCCGCTCGTAAATCTCCTAAAGCGGATGAGCACTAACTTCATTTAAACTATGTTTCCTCTGAGGCCCTAATAATCACCTTCGCACCGGGTGCATGAACATCTGATTATCCGGTTTCGATTTTAGTGCCTTTCATAAATGGAAGATATCAGACGCGAACACAAACAGTCCTCTTACGCGCGTGCGTGTGCTAATCAAATGTCCAGAAATAAAATTTTTGTTTGGTGATTTCACTTATACATATATATATATATACATATATATATATTATATACATATATATATAACTTTTCTCGTATACACTATAATCCCCAGGTGTTTCCCAATCCATTTCTCTCAAGACAACTTCCTGAGTTTTCAACAGAAAACGCTGTTTAACGTGCACGCGAAGTAGCATAACCGAAATCATTTGGAAAACCATACTAAGAAAGATATCACAGAATTATGACTCTGTATCGGCATCCGGTTGCTACGTAACTTCAAAATAGGCGGACACCAGTGTGCGAAATCTGGACGCTGATTTCGAAAGTACTGCTTTGCAGGTTAGGTATACTGGAAGTACTGCTATATAGGACAAACGGTGGTCTACTTACCACGCAGACAACAAAGATTCAACATTCAAATACTCATGATATGTCCGAATGAATGACCGATACAATTCAACGTACGTTTCCTCCGGTTCTGATTCTTCCATGTTTTCCAAGGGTGCCGCCGAACTTCGTCTTGAACTGATATTTTAATAGAGGAGTGTATTTATGCAGGCAGAGTTATGAATTGATCGTACTCAATTAAAGCGTCAATCAGTTACAAGGTGTAGAGTGCTGCCAGCTCAGAGTTTTATTTAGTCCATGCAAAGCTAACAAGATTGGGCTAACGTACGAATGATTGGTTTTCTCGGTGAGTACAAAAGAATTCATTAATCCTGATGGATAAAGTTAATGACGTATGGCAGGTTGCTTTGAATAAGATTACCCGTTTGGAAACATTTAATAAGTCATACGCGGAAAGATTTTCAAAAACATCAAAATAAGTCTGGGCTATTTAGAGTTCTAATTTAGGTGAGCTTGCTTTGGTGAAACACAGGAAAGCTCCTTAGAAAAATATCTGCTTGTAAAAATTGGAATTATTTTTCAAATTCATTCACCGAAAAGAAGTGAAACGATTCGACGTGACCGAGCTCCCAAGTTTCAAATCAAACAAGTAAAGCTCAACACAGTTCTTTCTAGCTGACCCTAACTTGTTGGCCGTGTCGAACGGACTCTTCTAGGTCAGCTGGCGTGAAAGAAACAACTTTATTTGCCCAGCCATCACTACATCCCTTCCCGAGAATGCGCCGACGGGGCCAGCATTCAGATCATGAAGGCGCCGACGGGACGGGCTTTCAGATCATGAAAACACTGGGAAGACCACCACATAAGTCGTCCACACAGTGAAACCGTCTTGCCAAATAAGCGAATGAAATTGCCAGATATCGATTTCAAAGCCAGCATTTGATAAGATCTAACAGAATGTGAAACTTACAGTTCCCTAGGAGTTGGTTCCTGTGATTTTTGCAAGACGACCCCGGATGACCGACGTGAGCTTGTATTTCCACGGAGAAATGAAAGCAAAAGATAGTCAAATAGATCGCATATGGTTTCTGCTAGACTGGTAACAAACGACCAGATAGGAAATCAAGTACTATCTCAGAATTTCAGCATTTTAGGCTTGATTTCTCCGATAATTAATGCTGAAATCAGTTGGGTTCTACTGCCAGGTCAACAGATAACAAGCATTAGCGTTTTGAGGACGACAGCGCAAAAGACGCTGGGACAAATTCAGACAAATCCTTACGTTTCGGACACACTAAGAAAGTACTGTGAGGAAGATATATCATGTATGATATTTGGTCATGCTACTAAACAAGTGAGTAGCTGGAAATTAAGTTCTGTGAATGAGTGCTGAAAGTGACACCAAGAGTTTGCGATTTTCGGTATTCAGCCTGCTGTTAGTTCGTATCGTATATAGTTGCGCACGAACTAGTTTCACTTTGTAGAACATTTAGCCGTTGGTAAATAATATGACCGAGTAAAAGTTTACGTTGTGAATTACCGTAGATGCGTCGAAATCTGATGGATTAACCAGTTTATTCGCTTTATCCCGAAATCTCTTATATGGGTAACCCTATTTAAGTAATTTGGCTTTTGATGAAAAACAGATGATCAGCATATAAACCAATACAACACAGATAAGCATGCGAAGCTTCAGTATCAGGTATATTCGAAGAGTTACCGTTAAACTTAAGTACCAATAATAAGATATGTTCCCCCCTGTTTGGTCTCCATAATGAACTTTATCGGAGAACTATGCAGTTGTAGTCCCCAGTAAAGACAATACTGGTCAGTGTGGTGCTCAAAAGCGCAGTAGCTGCCTCTTACAGACTAGCTCCGCAGCATCACCGTCTACCTATAAAGCACTGTTGAAAGGAAGAAAGAATCTTGTTGCAAGTAAGATTCCAGCTCTAAAGCACTACGAATAATTTGAAAATGGATCTTCACTGTCATGGTAACAAATAATACGTTAATGTTGTGAGCCAGAGTAGTCAAGCTACATGTGGATGCCATTCGTTTGATAATTGGCCCAACGTGAGACCCTAATTTCTGCCATCCTTACACACAAGTATTTGCCGTTTGAGCATTGCCTTTATTTAGACTATGTTTTGTCTGAGGCTCTAACGATCCACATGTACCGTCGTACCAGGTACATGTAGATTTGAATATTCCAGTTTCTATTTTGGTGCTTTTCACAGATGGAAGTTA